TCTTAATTTTTTTAATCGATTTTCGATCGTATTTTGGACGTAAGTGCCAAAAAATTTCTTCTTTGTCATTATATATGACGATGTTCTGGTAATATTAGAAATATTTAAGAAGTTTCAACCCAAGTAACAAACTAAAAGAATTATAGAATTTATATATTTAAATGCATAGAACAATACTGACTTTTATAGTAATTAATAAATTATAAAATGTTACTGAGCAAGCGCATTAAAGATAATTTAATGTAAGCGAAGTAGCTTCGCAACAGGATATTATTCAAGAAAAGTTTGGTTAGGAGTAAAAGATCAGTTTGAGTGCAATTTTTGTGTATTTTGAAGGAAAGAAGCTCATCGAAAAGGGAGAAAATTATGTTTCCTCTTTATGAGGATGAATTTTCAGTTATCAGAGAAGTTCAAGCCAGTTTGAAGAGGAAAATATATACAGTCCAGTCAAAGTGCTAGTTTACATACAATAAACCTGTAGGGAATAATCATCTAAACATTCACGCTTTTAGGTCTTTCTAAGCGATGGACAAATATCTAAATGCATTTATACCTGTCCTAAAGGATTACATACATGCCATCACNAGAGGAAAATATATACAGTCCAGTCAAAGTGCTAGTTTACATACAATAAACCTGTAGGGAATAATCATCTAAACATTCACGCTTTTAGGTCTTTCTAAGCGATGGACAAATATCTAAATGCATTTATACCTGTCCTAAAGGATTACATACATGCCATCACATGGCAGCATTGGCAGCTCTTGCCATCTTCGCTCACAACAATTTGTCTACTACTGGCATGGTCTACAAATGGAACAGACCAAAGAATAGTACAGAAGAAGAAAATACGCTAATGATGACAGTGATGACATATCAACAAGATCTCACCTGCGTATGAGGCTAATCTTTCCACGCATGCGCATTAGGGATAACACGGTTAATGTTAAATTTTTACTTTTTTTAAAGGAATGTTCTTTTATATCGTTTTTTTGTACGTTTTAAGCACATTGGTGTATCTATTTTACCAAGTAGGTACGTGTTGGTTGTTCATTTTTATAGTACATAGATATTATAAAAGTAAATAGTACACAAGGGTCAGATTCTGTCTGTAAAATTGCAACTATGACAATTTGTTTCGGGTTGCCTAAATATGTGACGTCACCCTAAAAGAGTAGGTATATTGCGGGGAACTAAACTATGAAAAGCACTGTTTGGCTTCATTGAAAAATATTCTTTAGAAATAATTGTTGAATTTGTTTGAATTACCTTTAAAATAGAACAGTAGTCAATAGAAGAAGAGGCGATGAATAAAAAATATTTCCTGCGATAATTTAAAGATTCTCTGTCATGAAAACCATATAGAATTGCTAAAACGCAAACATCGGGAGGACGTGACGTTATACGTCATAAATACCTAAACTCTCGCGATCTAAGAGCAGTAATTGACAGATAAGTAAATATTTGTTTAAACCATGTACACTAAGTAAGTATTGGAGTTCCGAGAGTGCAGGGTAAAATAAACAAAAACTATCCTGAAATTAAGATTGAGGTTAAATTTAGTGAAAGCAGTTAGATATGTTCAAAATAATAACGCTGCTATTCCAATATGTTTAATGACCTGAGAAATAATTTTTAAATCTTAAAAACCCGTAAATAAAAATATTTATGTTTCATAGAGCTTTTTTCTGTTTGATACAATTATTACCAATTTTTGGTCCTTAATTTTAAAAATAATTTCTGAAAATTTTGTGAATAATAAATTAGTAATTAAGATAGTTGTGTGATAATTTATATAAATAATATTCTATGAAATAAATAAAGTAAAAACGAAGTAAGCATAGTTCTAAATTATTAGAAAATCAGTCATTTACGAAGAAGGTCCTTTCTCATATTTTCCCAAAATTTCTGGAAAATATTGATAACTTATTATTATGTCACCATGTATCTCATTTATTTTCAGATAATTTCATGAAATCCGGTTTCCAGGAATTGATTAAAAGGCGAAGGCAGGAATTTTAATATTATCGAGATATTGTGTTGCAAAGAAATGATGTAACTATGCATAATAATTGTTGTTAATAAAAGATTTGTTTTCCCTTCGATCCACAAAGAAGCCATTGTTGTTATTTTCTATTGAATAACGTAAACGAAATATTAAAATTTACTGGTTATAACCAGAGATTAATCAAATCACCTTTACTATATTTATTAAAAAGAAAAAAAATTAAATCAATCAGAAAAACTCTATATATTTAGTTTACGTTCCATATTATTTAAGTTTTGTAATAGAATGGTTTAAAGACTGTGAAGATCTGGAGTATCAATTTGTGCATGGTAAAAATTTTAGAATTAATGAATCTCATAGGAGACCTATATTAAGAAATAACTATAAAGTGAAATAAACTCACTTCAGAATTTTTAAGAAATTCAAGTTGAACTGACGGTTACAAACAAATATCACAAATAAAAATTTACAAACTAAACTTTCTAATGACACGGAAAGAATGGAATTCGTTCTGTTACCAATTAAGGCCTACGTTGAATATTTCGTGACCGGTAAAATTGAAATAACAAAGAAAATAATGGACGGAAGCCCATTCTGGATTTAACTATTTAACCAGATTATCTGCAGAAAATGCTTTAAATGAAGCAACAGATTAGAGAGGATTTGATAGAATATGTTTTCTTACTGAAAACAAGGAACGTAATGTGACAAGAAAACACGCCAATAATGTACAGTGTTTTATAATTTGTGGACAAAAAGTTAAATGTTGACTGGGGACTCCCAATTTTATATCTTCCAATGAAGCTGAAATATATAAATATAATTTGATACACCTTTTACCAGTTGCCACATTTTGTTAAAATAAGTTCCAGTTCAAAATGTCTTAGCTTTTTATTGTAACTATTTATATTGTAATTGTATGAGTATATTTTCTTTACTGCATAAGTTTCTGTTGAGTGATTGTTGTTCTAAAATTGTCATTAGTATTAAATTTGTGATCAATTTGGTGAAAATGGAATATTTCCATTAAAAAAAAAATGGCAAATGTATATGGTAGAGGCAAGAGAATATCCCAACATTTAAGAAATATAAGCTCTTGCAAAAGATAAAAACGAATAACGGTAGACCAATTGATGTCAGGATCAACAACAATTTCTACGTCTTTAGCTCATTTAGCTAGTGTAAGTACTTGAGGAACATAATTTCTCTACTGATGGCTTAGTAAAGTCCTAGTTCTGATTTATTTACCAATGAAACTGGTTGTACTTTTAATTTTTACAATACACACTACTGGGGTAAAGAAAACACTCATGCCCTTCATAGATCATCATCATCAACACAAATTTATTTTCAATGCCTGAGTAGCAATGATTTAATTGGACTGTTTTAATTGAAGGATCATCACAGGTCAGTATTACTCCAAATTTTATGTAAAACGAATTAAATTTCCTTTTGGAAGACGCCATATATGGTTTACGTAGGATGCAGCACCAAAAAATTTTAGAATTGTAGCTGTTTTAGATGAGTGGTTTCCTAGCTCATGGATAAGGTCGTGCCTGACCAAAGTTTGGTCCCGCATGTTATCTGGAGTCGGATCCTTTAGTTATCTCGGAAGGGCACATAGGACAATTCACATAATAAAAGTGTAGATTCCTAGATATGGGCGAGGTCCGGATCATTTTCAAATTTGCAAAAATTAAAAATTTTTAAAAAATTCCTATTTTATCTGAGTTTTTTACTTATATCTTAGAACCTATGCCTTTTGGAAGAATATTGAAGCGGAAAAAAGTTTTAGAATTGAATTTTGCACAATATACTGTACCTCATAAATTTTTAAATTTATTACCGATATTGCAAAATAGCAATAATTAATGGAAAAACGGCAAAATAATCAAGTTTTTTAGAAAATTTTTTAAAAATATTTTAATTGCTCCGACGGCATTCTAATTTAGAGTATAATAAATCAACACACCAAATTTCATTAAAATCGGTACTACAGTTTTGCCAAAATAATTTTTTTTTAAATTTAAAAAAAAATCGAATTTTCAAAATGTTGCACAGCCTCAAATGAAACATCTAGGTACTTGAAAATTTTTTCACATAGAAAAGACCGCTCAAATTTTCAAATGGAAAAAATTTTCAAGTATCTAGATGCTTTATTTGAGGCTGTGCAACATTTTGAAAATTCGACAATTTTTTTGTGTGTTGTTTTATTATATTATAAAGTTATTTTTACCAAAATTAGAATTCCCTCGGAGCAATTAAAATATTTTTTTAAAATTATCCAAAAAACTTGATTATTTTGTCTTTATTTTCATTAATTATTGCTATTTTGCAACATTGGTAATAAATTTAAACATTTTTAACTTACAGTGTTTTGTGCAAAATTTAATTCTAAAACTTTTTTTCCTCTTCAATATTCTTTCAAAATGCATAGGTTGCAAGATATAAGTAAAAAACTCAGATAAAATAGTATTTTTTTAATTTTTTAAACATTTTTCCAATTTAGAAAATGTTCCGGACCTCGCCCAGATCTAGGGATCACTTTTATTATGTGAGTTGTACTGTAGGTATCCAAGCAAAAATTAATTTGCCCCCTATTACATCCCAGACGTGGGATATTTCGACAGATCCGCCCTGGTCTACTTGCCATTTTTTTTTTAAATCAGAATTATATTATTTTTATTTTTTAAAAGCAATTATAGTTACAAATCACTGTTTATGTCGAAAACAAAATAATTTGGGACACATGCTCGTGGGAATTTTCCTCGTTTTCCGGGATCCCCAATCACCCCTTAACGATTGATTCACAAGATATGAGATTGCTTCCCACTTTTTGGCGTAAACGTTTATCAATATGAACAATATGTTCATTTTATACTGGCTAAAAATGTACGTTTTAAAGACCATGGAGTGATATAATCAGACACATTTTTTTCATCGAGTTAAGTATGTCAAAATACGACTTGAAACAAATTTGTTGTTCACTTACCTCGTAGTCAAACGTCAGTCTCGATGCTCATAGCGTTGATGTTGTTGTTGTGGCGCGGGTTACAGTTCTGCTTCTGGGCCAGCTGGTCGCGCGTCACCAGCAGGCCCTCCTCCAATTCAACCAGATCGCTGGAGGACTCACTCAACGAGCTCTTCTTCATATGTTGGCCTAAAGTGCCTGGCAGATACGGGCAGCTGGTCACATGGTTGAAGTTCTGCGACTGCATCTCCTCTTGGTCGGTCTCACGGTGATAGAAGTAATTGAAATTTGATACTATTACAGGCACTGGCAAAGCAATGGTCAACACACCAGCGATCGCGCATAACGAACCCACGATCTTCCCCCAGACACCCACTGGCCTGAAGACAGAAGACAATCATTAGAATACTAGTTGATATTGACGTTCGTGATGGATACTTTATCGCAAAAAAGCAACACAAACACTGGCAGGAACAAGGAATGTATGTGTAAGAACTTTAGGCTGAGCATAGAGGAAAGACAGTTAAGGATCTGAAGCCCATGCGGGATAAGTATACAGCATCCCTAGTAAATTCACTACTTTAATAGAATCTATCAAATGCACACACATAAACAGTAACCAAGACTAGAACCGCGCGAAACTGCACCCTTCTCTTTTGAAACAGTTCATGCAACTACGAAAGTTAACACAAAGGTTTGCTGGAAGCCATGACCTTTATGGGCTGATGGGGTGTAGTTTTCCACGGTTGGAGCATCGTATGTTTATGTGTGCACAGATGACGGATAATATTAACTGTAAAATAGGTGAATTTGCAACTTCATCTTAGAAAATTCTTTGTTCCTCATTTCGGATAAACAAGCAACATCGAGCACACATCGAGCGTCACGACATCAAGAGAGGTCATTGGGGGCTGGATTGTGTCGTCTAGAAAAACCGGACGCGTCCTCGGAGCAAAGAATTTTCTGGTGGTCTCGAGTCTCTTTGTGTCACGGTGTATAGCTACGGTGGAGGCAACTAAATCTGAATTAGGTGTGTACATCATACGTCATGTCGCCGTAGCCCACGGTCGTCATGGTGACCACTGCCCACCAGAACGCGTCTGGGATAGACTTGAAGAAGGAATTCTCGGAGCCCGCCTCGGCGAAGTAGACGGCACTAGAGAAGAGCACGACACCTGCAAGGAGGAGGAGGGGTAAGTGTAGCTCTGTGTGACACTGTACCTCATGTCGCCGTAACCGACGGTCGTCATTGTGACCACGGCCCACCAGAAGGCGTCGGGAATGGACTTGAAGAACGACTGCTCGGCCCCGGCCTCCGCGAAGTACACGATGCTGGAGAAGAGCACCACACCTGCAACATACAAAGGCAGTGGGCCGAAACGGCCGTGTCGTCGGCGTCAGTGGTCAGACCTAATCTCGACACGTTTAATTTTGAGCAAAACAGTAAAGCCAACTCAAAAGTTCAAAAAGCACGTATTATTCCTTAATATAGCGTACGCTATACAGAAAATACTTAAGGAACCATGGAAAAAATGGTGAATAATGACAAAGCCATTCCTTATATATTTTCTGATTAAATATGTTACTGGTGATCGACTAGATCTATCTATATACAGGGTGTCTTGTTTATACTTAAAAAACTGGGAGGTGAGTTCCTGGAAAATAACAAGTATAACGTTTTTCCAATTAACGTAATGTTTCAATGGTAAATGAATTGGCCCACATGCATTTTGTATATGGAGTATGCAAATGCACTTCTTTAGCATCAGCAAGGCGATATGCTTATCCCAGTACTTTCGTTGCAAGTGAACGAAGATTTCGAGAAAAAGGCAGGTGAGAATTAATGATGTGGAAAAACTGTCGAAGAAAATCCACACAGCAGCGTAACAATAATTGCTACTGAACTACACTACTATGTTGCAAAGTCTATAGCCTACGGAACATCAGGAGAACAACAATTACTGCCCTATCAAAAATGCACCAAATTTTTGCCACAGGATAACTATGCTAGACCATATATTTGTAACTGGTTTAGGAATGAACAACACTAAAGTAATGACTTCTCCATGTTTTACAAAAAATGGAGTGGTAAATCTACAGAAGTCATGGATTTTCGACATCAGCTTAATATTATCGTTGATCACTTCTTAGGACTTGTTGAGTTGCCGCTACGTTTGAATGGTGTTCAGTATTTAAATTTCTTAGAATATACTTTGCCAAATCTTTGCCCTTGAATATAAAAAAAGATCCATTGTTTATGCCTGCTAGGGTACTACCACATTATATTGAAACTTTATGGCAGTTACTTGATAACCGCTTGCTGGGCAATGAATTGGACATTATGGCAACAAGTTAATTTACAATAAGTTGATTTAGTAATTTTCACTCCTGTTTTTGCGAATAAAGAGCATTACCTTTACGAAAAATATACATTTTATCGATTTTCAATGAGTATTAACCGTTGGAGTCCGTAAAGTCGTTAGAATATAGAATAAATTTTTATTTTTATCATATTTTTCCTTCAAGTATATCTCTCAAAGTTGCACTTGTTTTTAAGACACAGTTTATATTTATTCGTGTACAAAATTTGACGTATTTATCTTTAACCGATTTAAAGATAATTAAGAAAAACCCTCTTTAAGAAACACTCTGCGTCTCGGAATCGCACGTTAACTGGAAAAATATTGTTAGAACTCACCCTCAGTTTATTCATTAGTGGGAAATTCATTAGTTTGGGATACTAACCTATGAATAGGAAGAAAATTAGTAAGCCTAACTCGCGCATGCTAGCCTTGAGCGTGCGTCCGAGAATTTGCAGTCCTTTGCTATGCCGGCTGAGTTTGAAGATTCGGAAGACTCGCACGAGCCGAATGACACGGAGAATGGCCAACGACATGGCTTGATTGGTGCTTTTATCTTGCGGACTAACAGGCGCACGCGGCAAGTTTAACGTATCCTCCTCCTCTGCCACCACAGTGGCTAAAGTTATAAAGTACGGAATGATGGCGATGATATCGATAAAGTTCATGACGTCTCGGAAAAAGTGTAGCTTATTGGGACACGCCAGGAAGCGCACGGACAATTCGAACGTGAACCAGATGATGCAAATGGTTTCTATGAGGAAGAACGGGTCCGTGATATCGGGCACTTCATCCTCCTCTATCTTGGTGCCGTTGGTTGTCGTATTGAACACCTTGTAATGCTTAAACTCTGGCAGCGTTTCCAGGCAGAAGATAACGATGGACAGCAGAATAACGAACACTGATATGATGGCGACCACTCGCGCCGCCTGCGATGACTCGGGATATTCGAAAAGCAGCCACACGTTGCGTTGGAATTCATGTGAAGGCAGCGGTTTCTCCTCCTCCTTGATGAAGCCCTCGTCCTCCCTGAACTTGTTGATGGCCAACTCTCCCAACTCGTAGAACTTGATCTCCTCGGAAAACACGTCCAGCGGCACATTGACAGGCCTCCGCAGCCTTCCGCCACTCTGGTAGTAGTATAGGATGGCGTCAAAGGAGGGCCGGTTTCTATCGAAGAAGTACTCATTGCGAAGCGGGTCGAAGTAGCGGATACGGCGTGCCGGGTCACCCAACAGCGTGTCGGGGAACTGGTTAAGCGTTCTTAGCTGCGTCTCGAACCGGAGGCCGCTGACCTGTTCAACAGAAAAGCCTTTTTGCCTTGGTTCAGACCCAGGGGGGCGCTACTACTCACGTTTATCACAACTCTCTCACAAAAATCGTGGTCGTGCGGGATGGGCTCGAAGTGGGTTACACCAGTGAACTGGGAGTGGGGGGTGTGCCCGTCCTCTTCCTGGCTGCTGAGCTTGGGCAGCGACCTGCAACGAATTTTACATTAATAACTAGTAAAATTACTATTTAAAAATAAAGCACTTTCTGAATTACTATCTGCCAATAAATTTATTATACAAAGATTAGTAGTTATAGTTTCCGAGAAAAAAATTGAAGTTGTAGTATTTTCAACCTTTACATCGTTGGGCTACTGTAGCGTCTAGTGTAATCAGAATGCCTTCTGTCTGCGTTTTATCACGTAGCCGCAGGCGATTCCGAATACTGAAATCCGATTTTAGTATTAACGTTATTGCGATAGTGTTTACAATAGTTGTTCAAGTGTCAAAAATGGCTTTCGTGTATAGCAACTCGGAGTTGATAGATAGGTATCGTTTTAATTTATGATAACAGCAAGACAACATTTGTGTTACTTCGTATAAACAGGGTATGACGGGCTCAAATGTGTGTAAAATTTTGAATAGTTGTAACATCAGGTATGTCAAATTATTTTTTTAATTAAAACCGCAAATTAATTAATAATAACAATAGTGTTATATCATGGATGAATCAAATTTTTTAAATGGAACCACTGTAAAATTTACCGCGAAAGTTGGAAAATTTAATTTTTTCCTACAGTATATTAGATATTAGACATATCATATCTTTGTTTTGGACACACTGTTTTCAATCTAAAATAATGCCTAAAAATTTTTAGATTTAAATCAAAGATAGGATCAACATTTTTCATATAAATGGATTAGATAAGGCCTCATAATTGTCCAGCTACATATTTGGATCCAACAAAATTTGTCTTCTTCTTGGATTTTATAACAAGTAGAACTGTTTTCTCCTATCCAAAATGCAAGACGTACAAAACCGATAAGGGATTAAGAGACATAACAATTAAAATTCTTGATAATGTTAGTTTGCTGAATTTTAAGAAATGTATTCATTATGTGTTCAACAAAATGGTAGATAGTTTGGACAATTATTATTGTAATCTGTTTGTAGATTTTGTATACAGTCTTTTAATTATTCTCTATTCTCTGTTCTAATTTCTCTTTATAAATATCTAATTATTAAAAATATATAATAACGTATAGGATGTTCGGCTAGAAAAATGAAATAAAGTAACCCCTAGAAGAAATGAGACATTTCGCATAACTGAGTAAGTAATTTAAGGACTTGAAGAAATTGAACTGGTGTAATTTTTATTTGAACTTTTTTGTATTAGTGACATTACCGGAGCTGCGAAATAATTCGACTTAAATGGAACACCCTGTATATGAAAGTGGGTTTGTAATTAACTAAATGAATGAAATGACTATTAAAATGAATCTTAAAAAAACAGACATATGAAAATTTAAAATTGTTAAGAAAAACATATAGTGGAATCTGAAATTGTTTAATATTATTATTTAAGCAAAAAACAATAATGAGTGTAAATATTAATAAATTATTATTCTTGTAAACCCGCAGTACATAAATATTTCTATTCATTCCTACTTACCATTTAGGCATTTAGGTATAAGCAGTATAATGTAACATAGTAGCGAATTTAGAAAATTAAACTCAAGTACAAAACAAACTAACTCAACCATTATTTTTACGTACAAAATCGTGTTTATGATAATTTGCCGACCGCTAAATGGGGAAGGAGCAATTGTAATTACCGTTTATCCGTTTCAGAGCACAATGTATGAAGTGCAATTTCACAACACTTTGTCATTTTGCACTGAGTTCTAATATAAACAGATCGTATTCTCGAAATGAACAAATGCGACGCAATTCGGCATTGCCCAGATGAAAGTAAATAATAGTACTAATGATTAGAATGAACAAAAATAAAATCCAGATAAGCATATCCGTTTCACAGGAAAAACTGCCGTAAGAAGTACATGCGTTATTATTTTTATATCGGTGTCATTTTTAACTATTGGAAAGTGCGATTATGTAAATAAAGTTTCCTAAAATTTATTTAACAATTATATGTTTATTTAGACGACTATTCCTAACGTAGTAATTATTTAATATATAGGCTTCGTTAAAAAAAGGCCCACGGAAATATATTATTGAAAACCAAACCACGAATTTAACTGAAAAATAAACGGATAAAAATTGTCGTACCCAATACGATTGCGTCTCCGATTTTTTTTTATTCCTTTAACTGTAGGTGGTTGAAAATTTCGGTAATGCTTAACCATCAAGTGTAGCTCCTTGAAGAAATAGTTCAATATACGACAGCTCCTCAAGTACCTGCACGTGCACTATTCATTTAGCACTTTAGACACTATCGCTGTATATATTCGCATTCAACTACTACATAATTGATTGCTAGAAACAGGTAGCAAGAACAAAAAAATTATCTACTCGAGTAAGGTATGTGCTAGGATCTATATAAGCCCTCGCTTCTAAGACTTCATAACCCTTGTCGGTGCATCTGACATTGAATTTAAAATTTATGAAAAACTGTAACTAAATCTCCTTTAACCCTAACCCTAAGGATATTTAGTTTTACAAATATACAGGAATCACAGTAAGAACATTGTTTTGTAATAAAATTATTTAGGTAAAAATTACCTAGCTATAGTAGGATCGTATTCGATGCAAAGTAGAGCAAAAAGTTGTCGGTCTTTTATCAAAGAAAAATCGTGTCATCATTTTAAGGAGGCGTAAGATGAACCATTTCAAATTTAAAATGAAATTGAATGTTAAATCTGAAATACCGCTGCATACGCACTGTGTTCTGGTAGTAGCTGTAGTCGCCCAGGTGCATCGAGTGTATGAAGTGGTCGGTTATACGTCAAATGCTAACCTGGCGAGCTTGTTCGTCAATTAGAGAGCGCCTCCAGAAAACAAGTAAACAACAGTGGCGCGTACAGAGGTAAAATGTAGTACATATGTGGAATTTATAAAACAAATTGGATTTATAATAAATTACATTTAAAATAAATAGATTATGAGAATAAAGGAATTTTTGTAGGAACAAGGGTGCCAGACGTGAACTGATCCCTTCGTCCCTTCATAATGTATAAAGAAATTATTCAATTTCTAAAACCCTTAAAAGCGTACTGCATTGGTTCCCTTGTCAGGCAATGATTTATTACTTTGCATCGAATATGATTCTACTATAGTTAGCTACTTCCGTTGGGCAGTTCTTTTATTGTGGTTGCAAAGGTAGGGTTCACACAGACACCGAAAGTAGTGCGTTCGCTACTTAAAACAGTTGCAGGTTTACAAAAAAACTATTCACACCTATTGTGCTACTTCTCTTGCTATATACGCTGCTTGAATGTACGTTGATTTTTGTGAATGTACTCGGTGATGAATACGGATGGTAGTAGAAGTCTGGCTGTTAAGAAAGCAGTATGGCAACAATTTGTAAATACAAAAGTAATTTGGGAACAAGACTACATTAGAAAACGTGGAATTGAAACCTGAAATAATTTGATGTGTAATGTCTTAATCTTCACCAATTTTTACATCCATATCTGATACACGTGTTTATATGCTTATTGTAGAAAAAATTCTAATACTTATTTAACATGCTCTGATACAAACACTTAATGTCTGTAATCCTGAAATGTTTTGACTTATCGCCAATAAAAGACAAACTTTTGTTTCAGTTTGCTATTGTTTGATATTTCCTGCCTCAACAATTTTAATGAAATTTAACACGCACTCTATCGATTCCAGAATTATAGCTTTAACAGGATGGATTTGATTTTATAATCGAAGAAGATATACTTCCACATCTTCAAATACAGTTGATTTTTTTTTATTGTTTGTCAAAATGATCATCAATAACTATATTTTTCATGATACAGGAACAAAAACATGCAGCAAGGTAGATTATGAAGGGTGATATCATAATTTTCACGAACAAGATATGTAAATTTCAAAATTATTTTTATTTTAAGATATTACATAAATGATCAATTGTTTTATACCTTCATTGTTATAAATTTCACAACTATCCTTCGAAATATAAAAATCTCTTTACGTTTTAGGAATTCACGGAAATATATTACAACTAACCTAATGCTTTGTAAGCATAAGAACTTTTTTAAATAATATTGTTCAGGAGTAGAATGCCAAATACTCAGTGATACCGATAGATAATTAGTTTAACGAAGGAGAAAATCGAACAAAAAATCATTAATGGAAATACAGCCTATCCTATTATGTGGAGAAAAATCTCTGTCAGCGAGGTAATTTTAGAATCCCGTGTGAATTTCTAATACATGCCGTATCAATAATCTGAGCTAAGTGTACTAGATGCGAGTTTTTTCCTTAAAAAGACAATAAGTGTTCATAAATGCACAAGCATGAGCTACCAATATTATCAAATTTGTATTTAAGATGCAGTGCAAGATAATCCTAGCAAAAATCAATAACCAAGCGGAAATCTCCTTACATGCTTTGCATCTGAATTGTAATATCTACATGCAGAACCAGACTTTTAACATAAATAGATGTTTTTAGGCAATAAATTTTTTATTTAAATTAGTTTCTATAAAAAAGAGTTATATTAAAAACTCGCTTTATCCTTCAAAATTCGATAATTCGAAACCGCTAAAATAAATTCGTGGATTGGGTTTTACAGTTAAATCATAGTATTTATACTGTGATTGTAATTTTTGCTGTTTTTGGTTGGAATTAAAAAAAATGCTTATATGCGAAATAAACCCTAATATGTATCTTTAATAAATAGGAATACAGATTTTAAATAAAATTATGAGAGCGTATGTTTGTAAATGCGAATAATAGAATTTCTAGGAAAACATATTTTGTGCTGCTGTTGCGCAAGCACCAGTCAGCTTTATGCACTTTACATAAAGATAAAACAATCTCGGGTGCATTAGCGAATTGCAAACGAACCAAGTTAAATAAAATGTTCCTATAAATTTTCTTAATATAATATAGCGTGTACAATTGCTTTCTAATGCGCAATACAAAAATTTCTGTGTGTATGTATAATTTCTGTGTTCAAATTTATTTCATTTAAAAATATTTACTTACACTTTAACAATAACATTTATTTTGATATTTAGTAAAACATAATGGCCATAATAGTCAGTTGTTTATGCTTTTATGATTTATTTTGTAATTATGGTTTGAAAACATATCACCTAATTGGTTTAATAATGTACGATGGTAGCACCTTTGATCCAGTCCAAAAGAAATTTGTTTTTAGTCATACATTTTGTTGAGAGTAGCCAGTTCATCTTTTATTTTTTATACAGACTTTATTGTCAACCTGTCACATTCCCGTAAGGAAAAAATATCTTGAACAGTTTGATTCGAGGCAAATTTACTCTCTTCTATATTGTTTCGTACCTGTAATAATTTATGAGCAAAAAATAAAGTAGATCAAAGTGTTCACAGGGCTTTGCTTCGTGGGAGAGTTTTGCTTAGAATAAAAATACATTAAAATGAAAGAAAATAAATTCAAAGAAGCCTGAACGGAATCACAAAACAAAGTCAATGTTCCTATACAATTTTAAACTACAGCACATGAATCAATACTGTGGTTTTCCAATTGTTGAATTGCACAAATGTCTTTGCAATAAAGTTTTTAAATGACTCTATATACTAAAATCTACATAGTTTAATTCAGTGTTTGTGGAGGTCTAAACTCTGACATCTAGTATACTTAAGCACTTCTTGAGAAAAGGAGTAGATGTATCCCCATTCAATTCAAGTATCAGAAACGTGAACGAATTAATTGGCTTCTCCAAGTATTTCAATTAACACATTCAAAGAATTGTTGATGATGAACCGGCTAAGTTATGCGGTTTTTGTTTTGTTTATATGTGGTTATTATGATTACTAAGAATCCATTCTCTTGGCTTTTTGTTCTAGACACTCAAGATTTTACTCAATGTTCAAGGAACCTAATGAGAAAATTTAAGACGTTGTAGAAAGTCTCGAGGTCGAAAAGTCTGAACTTCTATGTGAAGGAGATAAAAAGCAATTTTTCTAGTGTTGGTATACGATTTTTCATCTGCCAGATTTAGTATTGCTTCCACCAAAATCAATATTTTAATTTTGCAATAGAGACCACATTCATAAGTTCATTTTGAAAATTTCGGTTGTAGGTAGTCCTTCAAGTAAGCATGCAAACAAGGTTTGACGATAGTAATACGTTGTTGATATATTTCAGCGTAAATTCGAGAACTCGAGATACTTCTCCAGAGTCACCATTGGTAAAATCATAAATGGAATGCATATCGATCATTTTGGCGTTAGTGTAGTTATGATTATTGAGTGAATGATTCAAATTTGTAAAAAAATCGCTCAAAGTTATCGCAAGAGATTACTTGTAGTGGTAATTACTTCTATCCCTTACAACCAAAGAGGAAGGTAAAGAATTCTTAGCTAAAAGTTTTTTCCTTAATTTTAGCTCCAATTATATTCAAAATATCAAACGATATCACTGTTTATATTTATTTTATTTTCATTAAATCCACATAAATTGCCCCACGGTAAACTTTTGTGACTAACAGGAAGTCTGATGATCTGTCGTAACTAATGACAGATCGTCAGATGGCATCTCCTTGGCTTTTCGTACCATTGCAGCAAATCCTGCAATAAAACTGAACAAGAATTTTTTGCGACTCCATCAAACAACAAAATTTCGCGGGTGAGGCTGCGTTCTATTGTCAAGTTGATAATAACGTGTCGAATAATGACGTCAAAGGTGTTGTTGGCCGATCAACGATTTGCCTCCTTCCACC